ACCAGACTTACTGGCCTGAAAGAGACTGGAGAAACCCTGAGAGTATGGCCCCCAGACACCCTTTTAGCTCAGTGGCGAAGTCACTCCCGAGGTTCACCGTTCAGCCGGGGATTGGACAGCCCCATAAAACAAAACAGGACTAATGGGTACAGAAGTCCAGGGACAAGGACTAGAAGGCAGGAGGGGACAGGAAAGCTGGTGATAGGGAACCCAAGGTTGGGTATGGACAGTGTTGACAAGTAGTAGGGTTCTTAACCATTGTCACAGGGCAATATGTGTACTAAATGGTTAATGAGAAACTATTTTGTTCTGTAAACCTTCATCTAAAATGAGAACAGCAGCACAACTAGAAGAACGTAATCAACGTCACTGAATTGTACATGTAGAAATTTTTGAAATGGTGTATCTTTGGCCATGTATATTTTCACAAAAAGAAAAAAGGGTCCTCCAAGGCCAAGTAGGGAGCATGTTGACATGTTGTGGGGTTGCTAACCAATGTCATAAAACAATATGTGTACTGACTCTTTAATGAGAAAATATTTGTTCTGCAAACTTTCGCCTAAAGTACAATTTTAAAAAAAAAATTAAAAGTAAATAAATAAAAATAAAAAAATTTCCTCCCTTTTCTAACTCCCACAACACTGTCTACCTTTCATGATCCTTACCAGTTTTTACTTTATACAAGTTAGAATTTATGTAAAAGGCTGCAAGTTTCTGGAAGCAAGGCAGGAATCTGATTCTGTTCTGCATTCCCCACACTACCAAACAGGGCTAGAACAGAACAGGTGCTCAATAATGAATGAATGAAGTTATTTACCTGCCTATTTATGTAACGATTTGCCACAATTTGATTTTGAAAATCAAAAGGCTATCAGGTTAAGAAAAAATATCCCTGTAATGTTATATTTGAATCAGAAAAAACATGAACTCATGGTTTTTAAAAAAAATATATTTCTTAGCTCTGTCCACTGAAGGGCCTAGCAGCAATGACAACCCAACAGCAATGATTTTGGTTTCTAAATATCATTCTCCACTAAAAGGAACCAGACTTCTTGGAGAATTCCTGATCTGCAAGGAAAGTATAAAGCGAGCCTGGGACATCTTGTGCTAAAAAAGCAAAGAACCATGCAAAGACTAATGGAATCATGTCAAAAGGAAGCAACAGCTAGCTTGAAGGGGCTCTCCCCGGCCAAATATAGAAGGACAATTTGACAATAAAGACTGTGTTTGGTAGTTATGACACTGAATAAACAAAAGTCTATAAGAAGGGTGATACACACAGGGAAAAAGACGATACACAAAAGGAGGACTACAAAAAATAGGGGGGAGGGATGGAGGGGTCTTCATGAATGCTAGCTAATATGTAGTAGGAATGAGAGAATTAGAAAACCACACAATTTGGTAACCCTTATTGTAATAACTGATTTCAGGATCAGGATGCTAAAATCATAGGGTGAAAGGCTATAATGGAACAGGATGTTTACAAGGTGCCAAAATTTCATCCCATAGATTACTTTCTAACAGCAGACGAGAAAACTACTTTCATAGCGGCAAGGTGTGGCTGTTGCCACCTTAGCCAAAGGATCAAATTTAGCATGGCTTATAATGGGACAGCCTGTCATTAAGTGCTTCCTGATGTGACTCAGTGTGAAGTACACTTCATGTCTGAAGTATTTTTGTCAAAAATGTTTAAACTGTATGCAATCAAGCCTCTCACCTAACTTTCAGTTTACAGGAAGTAGACGAGCTAGAGAAATAAGTTAAATGACACCATGAGAAAATACTTGAACAAATACAGAATGTTGCATATCCTACAAAACAACTAACTGACCTGGACTTCTCAAAGAAGTCAATGCCAGGAGTGGGGGAGAAAAAGGCAGAGGGACTGTTCTAAATTAAGAGGTTAAAGAGACATAACAACCAAATACAAAGAGTGTACTTTGTTTGGATCCTGGTTTGTCTGTGTTTTTAAAGAGGAAGGGGTATAAAAGATATTCTTACACAAGTGAGGAAACTTAAATTTAACTGACTAATATTATATTATCGAATTAATTTTTTTAGATGTGAAAACAGTATTGTGGAGATATATATATACACACACACATGTAAAAAATATATGTGGATATATATATATTATATATATATATAATGTGGTTATGTGTGTGTGTGTGTGTGTGTGTGTGTGTGTGTGTGTGTGTGTGTGATTTTACATATACACACACACAGAAAGAGGGAGGGAGGGAAAGAGACTGTCCTTACTCTTAGGAGAGGTGCTGAAATACGTAGGGATAAAGTATCATGACGTTTGCAACTTACTTTCAAATTATTTAACAACAAAAAAGGGGGATGTGTATTGGGGAAAGGAAGCCAGGAGGAGAAATGACCCTAGGATGGCAAAATGGTAACAATTGCTGAAATCTAAGGGGGAGGGAGTAAATAGACATTTGTTGTACCGGGTTTGTTTTGTTGTGTCTTTCCAACTTTGTATATACGAAAATTTTCATTATAAAAAATGGAAAAAAAGAAAAGAGAAGAACAATTTTAAAAAGCAATCAGCTCAAAATCCATAAACATATACTAGCAAGAGTCAGGACATAAGCATTCTCATGCAAAGCCTATGAGGGTAAAATGTTAACCTGACTAAAGAACAATGTGACAATGTCTTATCAGATTTTTAAGAGCACCTGTCCTGCATGCCTAGTCCTAGGAATCTGTCCTGAAGGTATAGTCCTATATATGTGAAATGACAATTGCACAGTTATTCTTTATAGCATTTTGTGTAATAGCAAAATACTGGAAATAACCTCTACGTGCTTCAGTCAGGACTGGTTACACAAATTATGGCACATTTGTACACTAAATCAGCTTAAATTATCTGCTTAAAAAATTACATGAATTCTTTGAGAACTGATATGAAAGATCACCAAGTTATAGTTTACATAAGAAAATCAAAGTACGGAACAATGTATACAACACACACACAATGTATACAATGTACACACACACACACACATATAGGAGAAGTACACAAGAATTTGGTTGGGAGGCTGGAGCTAGAAGGAATGGGAGACTTTTTTTTTTAACTACATATTCCCCTTTGTACCTTATGAATTTTGTACCACAGACATGTATAACTATTCAAAAAACTTGTTTTGCTAAGTACTGATAGACTGTAGCTATAATCAACTATTCATATCTCCATGCCTTCATTACCAAAACTGAATTACAGTAGAGTTTCAGCTTACCTGGAAGTTAGGGTCTAAAGTCAGCATATAAGGTGAAAATAGCATATAGTAAAAATATGCTTTTAAAATCCCTTAAGGATATGCCACACTAGAGACCAACATGCCATCTCAATAATGCCAACACAGCTAATTTTTACTCCAGCACTGTTTCTTCAATCGACTACTAGATAAAACAGTTGGCTGGTATTTATGCTTCATGTTAGAATGTTAAAAATGTGTCTCTTTAAAATACCAAAATCGCACTCATCACAGCTAGATAAAAAGCATTCAAGAATTGAGACAGGTTGAGAGAGGAGCAGATTTCCATTTCCCATCTCACACTCACTCCTCATTCCAGAATCTTCACTGTTTAAGTTATTTTTCTCTTGTTTTTGTCGCCAGATAAAGCTGAATTTGTGTAAACGTACATAAGATATGAAGTGAAAACACTGAGTTTTAAAAACACATTTCAAAACCTGTGCCCCTATTAATTAAACAAACCATTAGAATGGAAGAGAAAAATCACACCCCAAACGGAATGGCTGATTTACTGAGAATAGGTACTAGCTGGTTATAACAGAATTCCCAGGTCAAGTGAAAACGAGAGAGTGGTAACACCTTTTGGTCAATATTACATGATCTCAGGTTCTGACCTTAGGTGTGGCCCATTCCTTTATGTTGGTATTCCCATATACCTACATACAGATTCTTTAAATCTATACTCTGGGTAATCTTCTAACTCTACTGAAGTCAGCTACCCCCAAAGCTAAAAACTCCCAAATCTCCCAAATCTTTCTAACTCTAACCTTCCTAGTGAGCTCCAGGCCAATATGCGTACTAGATACTCCTCCTCTTGGATGACTCACCCATAGGCAACTCAAACTCTTTATAACTCAAATTGAACTCATTCCTTCCCCCAAACCTGCTCTCCTTCTAGTATTCCCTATCTTGAAGAAGAGAACAAGCATCTATCCACATGTCTATGGCAAAAACCTAAAATTCATACTAGATTGCTTCCCTTTCTCACTCCTATAATAAATTCTCAAGTTCTGTACGTGCTACCACTTACATCTCTTTTAAATCCACCCACCCCCATCATCTCCTTGGTTTGCCTTCATCACTGCTCATGTGGTCTAACTGGCCTCCCTGTCTTGGGTCTCTTCAATCCATCCTGCTGAAGTTAACTTCCTAAATACAAATTTGGTTATGTCACTCTTTCCACTCCAAGAACAGAAAGAGTAAGAACAAGAACCAAAGTAACGATATAGGAAAGTAAAAACCAGCTCCATTTGATAACATGGTGGAATGCAATAAGAATGTACCACCAGGTACATGTTCCTACTGCACATCTATGTTCCTATTCTACCACACACCGTATGACCAAAGTAAAGAGGCTACTGCATGTGTTTTCAGTAGAAAGAGGCCACAAGGGAAGCAAGGAAAATTCATCTGCTTTCTTGGAGTTGAAAATGAACACAAAATGGATCATAACAGTGATGAAAGTACCTTAAGGAAAACAAAGGGGCTCCCAGCCCTATAAATCAAGAGTGCATTCAAACTGAAATGCACTACTGTGTCTAAAAATGAATGCCTTAATCAGAAAGGGATGTGGGAAGCAAGCAGAGAAGCTGAAGAAGTTTTGCAAAGGGAGAAACCATCCATCCCTAAATTAAGCTGAATGAAGTTGTCTCAATCCATCAGATATCTGACTTCCCTGGTTGAGTTCAGGCTAACCAAGCCACTTGATAATGATCTGACCTGATAGGTAAAGTTTACCTACATGAAGAGAATGTTCCAGTCATTTGCTTGATTATTCAGGCCCCTCTGACTCTTGCTTCTTATTTAAAAAAAAAAAAAAAATGCATATTAATTAGGACCTAGTATGCAAATATGCCTATCAGAAAAGAATATACCTATCATGTCAACAGGTATATATCATTGTAAATTAACAAGCTGGCATTCTGGTTTTATACATCAGTTTTGTAAATCTGGTTAATGTGAGTCCAGCTCTGGGATAAGGAGATACTTTTAACATGCTGACCAAATTAGATTCTGAAAGTGCTAAACCAAAGGTCAGACCTAGGATGATGGTAAATTCTAAAACTGTACTATATAATAATACAGCGGCTGTTTAAATGTAAATTTAAATTAAGTAAAATTAAAAATTCACTTCCTTTGTCTCAGAGCCACATTTCAAAATAGCCACATGTGGCTAGTAGCTACCATACTGAACAGCACTGATACTGTACATGTCCATCACTGCAGAAAGTTCCATTAGGCAGTGTTATTCTGGAGGGTAGCCTTAATTAACACTGTGAGACCTCTTAAGAAGCAGTCTGATAGACAGCCCTGGACAGCAAACATAGAACTTGAGGCTAGACGATTTTTCTACAAACCAAAAAAACCAAACTCATTGCCTTCGAATCGATTCCGACTCATAGCAACCCAATAAGACAGAGTAGAACCGCCCCCATAGGGTTTCCAAGGAGCGGCTGGTGGATTCAAAGTGCCAACCTCTTGGCTAGCAGCCATAGCTCTTAACAACTAGAAACAGATACTTAACAGCTGTTTCCTTTCCCTTTGCAATAATTTCTTGAAATAAGAACATACAATATTAGCTTTCAGAATTTCTGCTCCTCTACTAGATGGTACAAACAGTTAATGCATTCGGCTGCTAACCAAAAGGCTGGCAGTTCAAGTCCACCCAAAGTAATCTTGGAAGAAAGGCCTGGCAATCTACTTCTGAAAAAGGAGCCACTGAACACCCTACGGAGCACAGTTCTACTCTGACACATGTGGTTGCCATGAGTCAAGATCAACTCGATGGCAACTGGTTCATTTATTACTAGATGATACTCTAAAGGCAGTTAGCACAGAGGTTAGAAGCACATTTTCTGAAGCCAGACTGCCCGGGCTCATATCCCATCTTTGTCCCTTACTACCTCACTGAGTTACTATGAGGATAAGATGAGTTTATACATATCAGTGCCTACAATAATGCATGATAAACAGTAAGTGCCCAATAAAGTTTAGCTGTTATTACTTTCACTACTGCCACCACCACTGCCACCCCTACTGCCACCCTGATAATCCTTCAGATGATTAAGTGTGAAAAATGCTCACCTAGGATATTAGCAAATGTAAAGGAACAAAGCTAAAACAAGGATCAGAAAATCTGAGTAGTAGTCTGATTTAAAAAACAAAAATTAACATTAAAGGGAATGGATAATCTGGACAGAATATTAAATACCGAAAAGTCATATTTTCAAAGAGAATTGGTTGACAATGTCTTACATCTAAGGCTGACAAATCACAAATCAAAAAAAGTCTACATAATGAGCTACTGAGCTATTTAAATAACAAAACTAAGGAGGAACTGAGAAGATACAGATCTGAGTTCACTAGACCAAATGATACTTCCCTGTAGTAGAAAAAGTATGTTTTGACATTTAAATACTTTGCCTCTCCAGTACTCCTTAAATTACCTTTATGTTCACATGATAAACTGACTAAAGATCTTCTGGTTTTTAAGCAGGCAGAGCACCAGACATAATTAAAATACCATGCCAAACAATAGCCCTGCATGTGGTCTTTGTGTGGAAACCAGTTTTAGTTAACTGCACATTGCTCTTGCAGACAGGCATACAAACTTCAGCAGATGTAGTAAGATGAAAAGAGCCAGAACTTTGGGGACACGCAAAGTCAAGCTTAAAGTTTGGCTTTGCCATTTACTCGCTGTATGACCCTGGGCAACCTGCACTTACTTAACGCTTATGAGCTTCATTTCACTCATGTGTAAAGTGCAGGTAAAGCACTGTGCCAATTAAATAAGAAATACTGGTAAGGTGCCTACCACAGTGCCTGTCAATTAGCAGATGCTCAATAAACACTTGCTACAGTTAAGAATTCTTCCTGAGAAGACCTGCCAATAGTCCTAAGAATAAAATACCACTATTTTACATAATAGCTACAAAAAATATTTTGACCAGATATGAACTATAAATCATGTGAGGTAATACCTCAAAATTACCATTTGCTTTCCATACTTTACAAGTTGTCCCCAAAGAAACTATCCTTGTTTACTGTATTCCCTGTTAGACTATGACTATAAACCATTTGGGCCTACAATAAAAATAACTGCACTTCTTACACTGAAACAAAGTTTTTACTAGCAATTCTGCCACATACGCCTTCACATCCAAACGAGGGACAAATATCTAACACTCCTTCCTTTCCCTATTAATGGAAAAAGAAGTAAAGAATTTTTTTTTAAGTTTCTTTCAGTGAGTTGAGTTTCACAAAACAAAACAATACAGGGTAATTGCTTACCTGGAAAATATTTTGTACTTCAGATCCACCAATCCAGAATGAATGGGAGTATTCCCTTTCAGACTAGTCTGAGAAAAGACAGCAGTCAAGCATCTTCCAAGATTCTTTCCGTTTACTGTATCCAGCTTTCTTCAATAAAATCCCAAACATGCACTTCGGTAACTGTTAAAAGACAGAAAGCAATCCATACACCCACCATGGCACCAGTGGCAAAGGACAGCCACCAAGAAAAGGAAGGGTCAATGGAGTGGTGGATCTGAGGCACAGAAAAGTTACAACCCAAGTCAGCTATTTGGCATAAAAGGTCTGCATGAACATTCCTCACCCGTGTGCTGAGAAAAGGATAAGAAAAGCTACAGTGCAAAGAAGGAAACATCCCTAATACTAATATTTACTGATGATGAATAGCCTGACGGTAGCTAAAAACTTACCCTACCATCCACATAAATCATCCCAGACCATTCAGCTACAACGAACTTCCTTACTCACTTTCTAAGACAGCTCCATCATTACAAAAAGTTTCTCAGCCAAAATTAATGATACGGGAAGACTAAAATATCTTCCAATAAAGCCATTTATTGAAGCACCTAAGAAATCTTTTGATTTGCTACATAAGACATCAAATATACATTGCCCATATCCTCTACCCTGAGCTGAAATAACATTTTTAAACACATGACATCATTTAAGAGCAAACTTATGATCCAATAAAGGTCAATTCCCCACTACGGCCAGTCATTTCCCAACTAGGCAAGACAACAAATACTAATAAACAATTTACTAGGTGACACCTTTAAATACATAAGCCCAGTCCATATTAATATCAATGTTCTTTCTCTACCATACCAATTTTATCATGAAACTGCAAATTCTAAGCAAACCGTAAGGGCAGGTGAAAAAAGGCATTCAACAGGATGACACAGATTAAAAACTTAAAAATCAAAAGACTGTGAACTTACTTGCACATTAATTTGCTACTTCCTCAATTGCCACACTATTGCCAAAATGCCCCTACAGTAATTATAACTACCATTATTAAAGGGCTACTAATGAGCCATGCCCTTTACATTTATTACCTCTATTTAATTCTCAGAAAAGTTGAGGAGAAAGAAAGAATGCCCACAGTCCTACATCAACTATGCAGTAGAGCCCCATGACCTTTTCACAGAGCACTGCTGTCTCCTAAGCCCAAGGGCCAGAAAGGGCATGATTCCTGGGACAGACGAAGAAACCAAGCTTCACTCTCAAAGGTCCTAAGTTAATTTACATTAAAATGGAGAACTACAAAAATACAGAAGAGTAACTATTTCAGCCTACCTGAACTATAAACACAATGGAACCAGTTGAGCCATCTTTAAAGGGCTAACTCCCTAGATCTTGCCACTTAACAAAGTATTTTGTTAACAAAGAGCCAAGCAATTCTAAGGCCCACAATATTAATGTTAAAACAAAACACATTATAATGGTGCTCAAAGAGTCTTTAGTGTTTAGCAGCAAAGACTTCCTCTACGACAAAGAATCTTAAATCCAGTTGAAACCAACCAAGTCATTTTAAAATTCCAAGACTGGTTAATAGTCCACAGACACTGCCTACAGATGCTGATTTTTCACATTGTAGGCAAAGCAAGTGAAGTGGCCGAAATACCAGTCTATGATTAATCTTAGACAATCGAATAGAAATGTTTTAACATGCAAAACTTAAAAAGAGATCTCATAAGTAAAATCTCAAGCAAATTATGAGTGCTCAAGTTTTTCCCATAAGTGATATTACTCTGGAGCCTGAGAATAAACGGGGAACCTAATTTTAATAAAGAGTAGCTAGTGAGCTATATGGCTAGTAGCTAACTGCTAAAGCAATACTCTGCTTTTCAAAGTATAACTTACTCTTAAAACCAAAATGCAGAACAAGTTATAGCAAAATGTAACAACTACCTCACTAACAAACTCATTTCCAGACCTCTTGAACTCTCAGGCCCTTTCTCTGTAACTGTTATTAGCTGCCGTTGAGTCACCACGACTCATGGTGACCCCCTGCACAAACTGCTGCCCAGTCTTGCCTCATCCCCATGATCAATTGTAGATCAGACCACTGTGATCAATAGAGTTTTTACTGCTAATTTTTGGAAGTAGATCACCAGACCTTTCTTCCTAATGCATCCTTAGTCTTAGAAGCTCCGCTGAAACTCGTTCAGCACCATAGCAACATGCAAGCTTCCACTGACAGACAGGCAGTGGCTGCATATGAGGTGCACTGGCTGTGATTTGAACCCCGGTCTCCCACATCGAAGGCAAGAATTCTATCACTGAGTACTAGGGGTTTAATTTCCCCCTTCCTTCAAATAAACAAGTATACAATAACTCATAGGTGGCAGGCCTTATGCTAGAGATACAAAGATTAATAGATGCCAGACTAGTGTCAGGACAGAGTTCTTCCTCTCCTTTGCCCCTTTCTTTTCGAGTCTCTTAAGTGGTCATTTCACAAAACCAACATATATTTTATTATTAGTTCCCAAAACTGGTTAAATGTTCTCAATTTAACTCTTGAAAATAAAAAATTACTCAAGTTCCTTTTTATCAAGAGTAGCGCCCTCACTTGATTTTTCTTTTCCTTCTATGGATCAGAGGCTTTCTATTAGAGAATGACTTCCTAAATTCATTATACTTATATTTGCACATCTCTCTACTCACAAGCAGAGGCTATTTTTTTCCATTTTTCAAGTTAATGTCCCACTGTTTCTAGTTTACAGCTTTCCATTCTGTGAAGGTCTTCATTACTGACTAACCTTGAGAGGGAATTTCCTATAAAGGCTTCCTGCTGACATCACAAAACTCTGTAATCTTTGAGTTTTGTTCAAACAATAATAAGATATAGGTTAGAGACACCCTACTGGATTGTCAGGTCTTCCTGGTCTGTTTCTCATTTGCCTACAAAGATGAACTTCCTGTTAAGCAATTGCGATCAGCAGAAACTTAACAGAGGGTAACATGTACACTCTTGACCAACAGGTTTTTCCCCCTTTGTCAACTAATTCAATGAAAACAATACAGCTCAGGAGGAAATTCTGTATTGATATTTACTGGTTATTCTGTTAAAGCTCAAAATCATCAGCTTTGCTACAAGAATAAGACTCAAAAGTCATCATTTCCCAGTCTAAACTTAACCAAACATAAATCACAATGCTCAAGGTCAATACGAACTAATCACCAGTCTTTTTCTACCAGGATACTTCAAACGGGGCACAGGTTTAATTATGCCAAATTGGTAGTTCACGGTAACCGTTAACACTATCTCCTGGATTTTCCAAGACAGTGCTGATTCTATATGATTTCATCATTTCTCCCAAAGATGGCTCATTAAATATGTGGCTAAAAGCAATTGAATTTTAGGCCTCTGTAAAGCTACACAAACAAATACATCTAAGAATTCAATTCAGGGGAAAACATTAAAACCTTTTTCATACCATCTGTCTTGATGCTGCTTTACAAAATATGGTCCTTGTACCTGTGGGGAAAAGTTCACATGGCAAGCACTTGCTGGGAGACAAGTCTCTGCAAGGTCCTTTCATACATCTCTCATACAATCATCCCATCAACCCAAAGCAACACCTGCGTTTGCTTATTTTTACAGGTAATGAAACCGTATCTCAGTATGTCACAGCTAGCAAGTGACAGAGCTGGGATATAAACTCACTCTACATCCCATGCCCTTTCTGCCAAATCATGTTCTTCTAAAGTATAGAACCCTTAGACCCTACTTGCCAAATTCACACCAACAGCTATAAAAGAAATTTGACTTCCTAAGTATTTTGTGATCAACCACCCTCTAGGATATATATAAGTTAATCTGTATGTACGTAAAAGTCTCTAAATAATAGTTAAAATGTCTGTGGGTGTCCTGTGTGCCATATATCACTTCTCCCTCTTCTTCTCCCTCATAAGTCTTTCTATTTATTCATCTCCACCACTGTCTTAAAGTTATCAGAGTGAAATCTTAAAAAGGTTCACAGCATTAAAAAAACTAACATTAATTTAATCAATAAATATCTACTGAGCACCCAAGAGCAAGGCACTGTGAAGGGGTCAAAGGACAATCAGATACAGCCTCTGGAAAGGAAGCTTAGACACAATCACAAGATTTTATAATATACAGGGAGAGATAGCAAGTCCTACATGAGTTAGAACCATAGTATTGTGAGAGATAGGCGTGTGAGTGAGAATTTCCAGAAAACAGAATGGTTAAGATGCAGGTAGAAGGCAATAATGTGTGAAAACAAATAACAGGAAAATTCAACTCAGCATTTACTGAACACCTAATACAAGAAGGCACTGTGTGTGTGAAGAAGTTATGTGTTATATGAAGAGGAATAAGGCCCCATCCCTTCCCTCAAGGAGTTTATCATTTAATAGGGGAGAAAAACAGGTAACCATAATAAAAGCCTGGAATGTGTTAAATGTCAAAGAGAAATGCAAAGTGCCAGCATTCACTCATTTCATTTAACAATAATTACCACGTAGACAGTGCTACAGATATAAAAACAAAATGGTACCTGCCACCATGATATAAAAAGACATCAAAAGAGGTGGCATCTGAATTGTTTTAATGCTGGATAGGACTTTATCAGGCACAGTGAAAGAGAGGATTGCTGAGCTATGACCTAAGCGAATTTGGCCAGAGAGCCAACTATTAGATCCATTTGGTAAATATCAGTAGCCTTCAATAAACAGGCTTAGCCAGTTCATATTAGTGGTGGCAGAGAAAATAGTGTAAACAGAATTTGGAGAACCATGGTCCTCCATGCTTTGGCTGGAATGTAGAATAAGTGAAGAAAGTGGGAGGAAAAGCCAGAAGGGAAGCTGAAACAGGAATCACTAAGACTTGAAATGCTTTGTTTCTCTTGAAGCTGGGCTTCGAACCGGTTCAGTCATAGCCAATGAAGCGAAACCTGGGCAGACCCAAATTTCTGCAATTTGGGTGCTCCAGAATGGTAACCAGAATGGGGAAAATGACAGGTCAGAGCTCGAAAACAGAAGACTCAGAAAAGGCATCGTAAGCCCTTTCAGGAGCCTGATGCATGAGACTGAATTATTGGCAGGACTCTGGAGAGCAACACACATTCAAAGCAGCCATCTTTGAGTGAAGCACCATTGTCTCCGACTCTGCTCAAAATCCTGCAGGTCAGAGATTTGGTTGCTTGTTTTCTAAGAGGGAGATTAGGTTTCTAGCAGGGCTTTGACCTGTAATTCTTCCCATTCCAGTTACCGTTGCAGCTCAGTCAATTGTTATTAATTCGGGGCTGTTCTGGTTTCACTTCCTTGGTCATGACTGAACCAGGAACAACTGGTTCAAAGCCCTGTCTTGAAGTGCAAATATCACAAGGCAGAACCCAGGATCCCAGGGATCTCACAGAGCAGAAACTCGCCAGGGATTTATGTGCTGTTCTGTGGAGCTATATAATGAGCTAGTGATTCTCCTGTGCTAGTGCTCTTGGTTTTCAGAATACAAACTACAGCAGTCAGGGGCCAAGAGTGCCAAGACTGTATGCAGGAACATATTTATCCTTGTCAAATCTGAAAGGACATACAACTTACTCCAAAATCAGTTGGCACTGAGTCGATTCTGACTCATGGCAACCCCTTATGTTGCAGAGTAGAACTATGCTCCATAGGGTTTTGAAGACTATGACTTTTCAGAAGCAGATCACCAGACCTTTCTCCCTAGGCACATCTGGGTAGATTCAAACCACCAACCTTTCGGTTAGCGGTTGAGCACTGAACCATGTGCACACTACCCAGGGACTCCTACTCCAAAATCAGGGGCAAAAATTGAGGCAGGTCAATCAGGTCTATAAACATGTGGGTGGTTTATTTCATTTGTATCCTATTTAAAACAGTGTCTATTTAATCTGCATTTGGTAAACTAACACACCATTAGAGGTAGATAAGGACAAGTAATGGTGGCAAAGTAAGATCCAATTTCTTGAGGAGTCACTAAACAATTCCACTTATCTGGCTTAGAAAGTCAATGACAGGAAGGGGGAAAAAAAAAGATTCAAAAGGAGAAAAAATATCCAATAAACTTCATTTGTCAGTTTTTCTCATCTCCTTGGCCTTGCGGCCTATCTATGCTTTAATAGCTCTAAAAGTAACATTTATACCACACCTTCTTAATAAGGTCCAATGTATTTTACCTATATTCATTCAACAAGTAATATACCCACTTAGTGATCGCACAAGAAGGGAAATGACTCATGCAAGGCCACTTAGCAAAGAAGAGAATCATTCAACAACTAACAACAGAGTATAAACTACACATTAATTAATTAATTAATGAGGGAGAAGATGTGCTCACATCCATAGGGGGCAAGATTACCTTTTCTAAGCTTTTAACATCAACTCCTGTTATCTTCTAACAGCAGGGACTAGCCATCTTTCTCTTCCAATCAGTAGCTCTGTGAATGCTTCCTAGTGATGAGTGGCTGAGCATCGACTCATATTCTTACCTCACAAATGAATAAATACTGTGCGATATAAAATGTACAATTTTAATTCTTTCCAGTGAAGTCGACTGCACTAGACATGGCCTGGTGAACTTCGTATATTTCCGAAATGGATTACTGTTTTTCTACCTCATTAATAATAAAGCCAATTTCACCAAAGTCAGAGGTTTAAAAACCAGGCCCACAAACTAGGTACAGTATCTGGCCAATACAAGGCCATGAATGTCATTTGGTAGTAAAATTATTCACCATCAGCAACTGTAAAGTCAGCTGCCTCAATCAAGAGTTTATAGTCTTTATTGAAGTCTAAACCCTACGAAGTAGGTCAGTTGGAGAAGCACCCTATGTGAGTACATGCCTCACACAGGGGCAAGAGTCACAATAGGGGTTGTATTCTGAAGATTTAATTATTCTGCTATCACTGGCTTTAGTTGCTAGTCAACTTATCAAAAGTGCAAGAAAAAAATCAAAGAAAGTAGAGGGATGAAAATTAAGAAATGGAGAGATCCAAAAAGTCTGTCTCCTCCTTTTCATATAACATGTTCTGGAATATCAAATGGAAGTTACCTTGTTAACCATTATAT